ACTTTTATATGCTGAAATGTGCAAAACCCCGTCAGCAAAACCAATTCGTTAAAAATCAAGGCGATTTTTAGCGGCTTTTTCTAAAAATTCAGATAAAAAAAGCTCAAAATTAAGATAAAAATGTGTTGAGTTTTTCAAAATTTTGTATAAAGTTAAGGTTTGTAGCCGATATGAGAATCTAGTTCTTTCGAGTTTAAAAGTATGTTCACATATAAATATTATCTCAATCAAAGCTCGTTTTTTAATCACCCCGTTTACGCAGGTAAATCTCAGATTATTAGCCGTCAAATTTTTTGTGCTTGTTATTCTCACATCTCAAGGAAAAGTTATGCTCATTCTCTGTGCCACCGTAATCACGTTTTTCTGTTATATTAAGCAATATAAATATATTTGAACTTAACATTTTATTAAAAATACCTTTACAAACCTCTTCCTTGCTAGCGTCCATTTATGTTTACTTTTACATTTGCCATTTCTCCTCTGCTTCGCAAAAACAATCGATAAAACTAGGATGGACACCGAAAAGTTATCGGTTAAATCTGAGATTATTTTATAATTACAGATTAACCAGGGACGAATTTTATATGGCTAATCTCTTTTTATAATTACAGATTAGGGAGTTAAGCTCGAAAATGAGGATAATCTACCTATATGTGAACCTAGTATAAAAAATATTTTAGGCAACATTTTATTTCGTGTTGTAGATGAGAAATTAAAACATCGGTAAAACATCTATGTATCGTTTTTATAACCGATGTTTTTTAACATCGATGTTTGTTGTGGGAACATCGATGTTTTCAAATATCGATGTTTTTAAGAGCGATGTTGCATCCCTACGAACTCGACAAGAAAAAGAGGAAGCACCGAACAAAAGGCAGTGTTCCCAAGTTTTGAATTTGAAAAAGCACCAAATTTTTATTGGTGTATTTTACGGACTTTATATGAATACATAATTTTATTGTAAGGATGCCAATTCAAATCAATAAAAATCTATGTTTCTTGCACAACGGTCGATTTCTTCTGGCATGATTGAAGGTGTTGCACATACTTCGTTGTCGCTTATGATTGTCACTGTGCCATGATTTTGTTTAAATTTTTGTAAAATTGCTTACCACACTTACGATTGCTATACATTTTGCTTCCATTTTTTTAAGATTTCCTAATTTGGTGTCTTCAAACTAAAAACAAAAGCACCAAAAAACGCACCAAGCACCAAACTCAAAAATTTTCGCGTTTTGAATACCCACTAAATTTGGCGCCAAAAGCACCAAGTTGACAACAGTGAATGTAAACAAAAGTATATTATGACGTTAGCGATTGGGTGGATGCTGGCAAACCGACGAAGAGGGGGCTAGCGGTCCGCGAATGGCGCGAGCTTTATTGTCTGGATCGTGGGGTGATCGAACAGACTCGTTCGTACTCAAAGCAGCTGTCGGGTGTGCATCTCGATCAAACACATAGTAGCCGAGTGTGGTGTTCGCTTGCGCTCGATTTTTAGTGAGGGTGATCAAAAAAACTCGATCAAACTCAAAGCTGCTCTTTGGTACGTAAATTAGACAATTAGTTTTTTATTTATTATTTTAAAATTGAGACTCACTTACGCTAACCACTTACGAAAACCACAGATTCGGATATATTCAAAGCTTCAGTAGTTGACACCATATTATTCGAACTGTTTTTCAAATTAGGATTGACGCTTCTTAAAAACTAGCAGGTTTATACTTACCCTAATTTCCCATTTACCGCCGGCATGCAGTTGGAACCAGTAGCACAAATCGTTGGAGGGAGTGGAATAGCCCTCGGCATTAACTTCGTCATTTTGCCTGAAGATATAATGTCAGACCGCGAGAAGTGATCACCACAAATCAAGTCTCTAAGTCCACACTGCATCCGGAAAGCTCTTGCCCACATCTGCCGTAATAAACCACCGAAGAATTCTGAGTGTCCATTGTTTTGCATCAACTGAACGTACTCGTAAATTTGTGAAATTTGGCAAATCATTTTTTTATGGTTTGGTGTATATGTGTATGTACTGCGCTTTTGGCCATGTGTTAAAGTTAGGTACCTAACCACCCTGTAAGTTATGCCTTGTGAGCTGTTTATTTGTCTCCTGACGCCCAGTATCAAATTCGAATTTATTCCAGACAACTACCTGTCCGTCTTCTTTTTCGAACATTAGCTTAGTGGACAACCCAAAATAACAGCCACATACATATGGATATGTACACGTATACATAAATTACCGCGTGCGATATGGGAAAAAAAATATTCAACGGAAACGGAAACTAATTCTAAAACACGAAAAAGTTGATAGAATCAATTTAAAATTTAAATTAAAAATCAACTTTGGTTTTAACTCAAAATGAATCTTGCGTCTTGCGTTGAGCACTAAATTCCTAAAATTGTATAGTCTCTGTACTTTCTTCATACATAACTCACTTAGTCCAAGAAGATGAGTGGAGCGCCGGTACAAAAGAAGACATATGTATAGTCTGTGCAGCAGGGGGTTTACTGTTTTCTTTCAATGGAACTGGAAACTCAGCGCGCAACACGATCCTCCTTTATAGATTGTACAAAGATTACTGATTATATATAAACCCTTAGGTGGGGGCGAAACCAACTGGCGAAGGTTTTCATTACATTTTGTAAGGGACATTTTTATTTTTCATATTCTGTGTTTAAAAATTTACCTATGTATGTAGAGCTGATTTAGAGGACAGTTTAAGAAATAAAGGACAAAAGGCGTCCTTTATTTTGAAAAAAAATTATAAAGGACAGGGGGTTAAAATAAAGGACTGTCCTTTAAAATAAAGGACGGATGGTCACCGTAAGTCTGTTTGAATAGATCTCCAGTAAAAAATATCCAGCAGCAACTTGAAGGAGAGTAACAAACAATTATCTCTAAAACTGGAAAATATAAAAAAAAAATAAATAAAGTGCCAATTTGAATAAGATGCTCCGACGACACTAACCCCTTCATATGCGTACTCACATTAGCTCATCTAACATCCCTCTCCCTACAACAGCCCAAATCCGTTGGATCTACCCTTTTCCGGAGCCTGCCATTAGATTACAATGAAGAGAACATACTAAGTCCGATTCACTGCTTTTGGCAGAGTTTAGTAAGCTCCTCCAACAAAAAAAAAACAGTAAAGTATTTTCTTTGGGGTTTCCTCTTATTTTTGAAGTAATTTTCTATAGCGGAAATTTCCCCGGTATTCAGATACCATCCACCGAGATAGAGCGATCTTCCACTCAGCTGTCGGTATATAAAATTAATAAACGTTTTATAGTTCCACTTTCAATTAAATAAATAGTTTTAATTTTAATATTATGACATATGTATAAATAACCCCAAGGCCAATTTATATAAGGTGGTCCCTGCAAACCAAAGTTCCCGAAATCTTAACGAAATCTTTAGGAGTATCTGATTTCTGTAACGATTTTTTCCCGAATCTTCAAAGAAAATTATATGAAGTGGTTGATACGAACTCGTAAAGAAATTTCTGTACGAAAAATAAAGAAAATTCTGAAAAAAGTCTGCAAGAAATTCTTCACATAGCAGCATTATTTTCATTTCTTTACCGATTTTCTTCCGAAATTTTGGAAAAGAATGGAAGTGTGCGTAATTTATTTAATTTTAGAAAATTCGGCAAAAACTCGGATGGGATCTTTCCGAATTCTTTAAAATTTCTTGACGATTCAGAATACTCTGATAAAATGGTTTGCAGGGGTGTTACTAGATTAGCTGATTTTGTGTATGTGTTTCGCCTCACGGCTTCTAATGTCAAATTGAAAAATTTTGTTTGAATTTCCACACACACACTTGCAGATTTTGACAGTTTATGCCGCCAAAGCAAAAACAAAATACATGTAAATTTTTGTTTTTGTTCTCCTGCTATCACCTTATATTAATTCGCCTTGAATAAACCAGGCGAAAACTCGGTTTATTTGATTTTAAAAATCCGGTTTACTCAGTAGTCGAAAAATCACAATTTCGAAAAAAACTGCGTAAAAATATCCAAAAACCCCGGTTTGAAAAACCGAGTCAATAAGCCTAATATATACACGTACACATATTCATACATACATATGTACATTATGGTGGTCGTTAAATGTAGGAAGCAAATTTTTACATCAGATTTCCTAAGTCTCAAGCCCTACCTCGTGCTACCTTAGTCGAAAATATCACATATAAATTTTGGTCCCGATTGGAGACGGTTGAGGCGTGTGGCACAGGGGGCAAAGTTCAAACGCCTCTATGGAGAGTATGATACCCAAAATCGATACTACCATAGTCGAAGATATCACATATAAGTTTTGGTTCGGATTGAAGTCCGTTAAGGTGTGTCGCAGAGGGGTTAAAGTTCAGATTACCCTATGAAGACGTCTTAATTGACTCCAATCGGAACTAAAATTAATATGTGCAACGGCTTGCGAACCAGTCCTAAGGCAGCCCTAGAAACAATTCGAAACCTTTGTCCGATATATGTGCACAGTTGCGAAGAAGTCGGCTGAAGGTAAAACGACAGTGACTGTTAACATAATGTTCATTTGGCACACTTGTTTACAGTTATAAACCAGATTATTTCGATCCTCATAACAAGTTTAGAAAGAGGTCACACGTCTTAATAGAGCCATTTGGCCCACAACGGGGCTTTTTAAGTGCAAGTTTCAAATGTGTAAAAGTTAAAGTTAACTCTTTTGAATTTTACTTGTTGCATTTGCTTTCCATGCTTTCTACAAAAAAACGTGCACGTTATTATACTACAAAACTACATGCTCAAATCTTTCCAAGAAATCTAATTAAAAAGCTCGGAATTTTAACAAAAGTTTGTTGATTTTTTTTTTTATTGCACAAAGTTTGAAACTTGGATTTACACGGCTTGTGTTAAAGAATCTACTATATTTTTATAAAAAATAACTAAAATTATATACCAAAAATTTAAAAAATTTAAAACCTACCAATATGCGGCTTTAAATTTAAATTAAAAACACTCACATACCGTTGGACATTTAGCTTATAGATAATGTCTTTTTCTATACAACTTTATTTGCTATTTTCACAGAAGTAACAAAGTTTTCGCAAACAACTAATAAATTCTTTTTCTAAATATTTCGAATATAATTATTTACAAATGTGCATTAAAACTAAATAATGAGTAAGTGAACTAGATTTGCAATTAAAACTAAGTACAAAGGAATTCATATGCTTTTGTTTGGATGAAGGTACCATGATAACTAGCCGGTATTTTAGTGCCTCACTTAATGCTTTGTAGGCCAAAATCACAAAGTAATAACTTCATTTTTTTCACAGATATGCCCACGCGTTGTGCATAAACAAAAAAATGTATATTACAATAAAATTTAGTTAAAGTTTAACGATCTACGTTAATGTGGGCAGACTGCAACCGTTATTCACACGATATTCCGCATACACAATACCTGCGAAAAAAATCAAAATAACAATTTTTGGCTTTTTTTTAATGTTTTTATCAAATACCAACCAGTATTGTGCCAGTGATAGAAAGCAGCCAAAATGAATAGATGCCACCAATTGTGAGAATGTCCAACATAGTCCACTTTACCGGTAAGCCAACGTTCGGGTATCTTCGCAGCATAGATGACGAAGGCGAGAGCACACCAGCCGTACATGATAATTATGCGTGGCACCATTAGCTATGGAATGTATATACATATGTATAACTGTAAGTATTTTCGATTTAATAAAACTTACCCGCACCAACTCGTTGTCGAATCCACCCATCACATAAGTCCAGTGCGCCAACGGTATTATGCCGTAGGCGGCCCACAGTACCAGCACTGCAATCTTCGCATCCAATGAGACATTCAGCTTGGGAATTTGCACTAGCATCGCCAAGCCAAACATGCATAAAGCAATCACAGAATAAATAATGCGGAGGGTCTGAAATTTGAATGTATGAAACAAAGAATGATTTTAAAAGACGTCATTTAAGGGTGTCACTTAATTTGAAGAAAAAACTTAAATAAAATTATATCCGACTGAGAAAGAAATCTGTAAACAAGATCACAGTAGTACTAAATAAATACTACGAATAGAAAATTTGTTTCTAAGGAAAAATTTGTTATCAATGTTGTTGATAGCACAATATCTATAAGCGTTTTTTTTTATCTATAAGCGTTTTGTTTTTTGAAATACTGATTTTTCGAATATCGAAAAACCCGTATTTTTTAATCGAGCAAGCCGGTTTTTTTCATTTCATACAAATCTTGTGCTCCCAATAAAAGTTTTGAGTTTTTTCAAACTTTTCAAGGCTTTTTCCAGTTTGAGGGAAACCCCTAAATAGTTTTAAAATTATATCCTGGATTATTCCTTCTCCTCCAAATCGTGTTCTCCCTCCTAATGTGACACAAATAGAGAGATCTACACTTTTACTCCACCTCCAAAGCAGCTTTTCAATGACAGAAGTAAACTCGGTGCTTTGCCATTGTCTGAGGGGCGTCCGTTATTTGAAAAAAAAACTTTTTTTTTTGATGGTGCTGGGACCAGAAATTGAACCATGGACCTCTCGAGTGACATTCGGCATCTCTAAGCACTCGGCTACGGCGGCAGGAGCACTACTCAAATTCAAAAAATCAGAAAAAATGGAACACATACAGCAAAAAAAAAGCTTTGAATTTATTTTGCTTTGCTCTTTTCTATATAACGGCTATTCTTACTATTAAGTTTTATTGTGATTTTTGGTAATGACTTCATACCAATATAAGCACCTTCTCTGTATGAGAACTATGTAAAATAAAACTGGTTTACTAGGTTTTCCTCTTAACTTCAAAACTAGGTACCGGTTTATTTTCAAATTGCAATTTGTCGAATAACACGAAAATCGGTTTTGGAAAACAAGGCAAATAATCGAACACCCTAGTAAATGCCTAAGCTCGTCCTTAAACTAATTCGAGAACAGCGGAACTAATTCGCCGGAACAGAGCAAATTACTAAAACAAGTAATTGTAAGAAACAAACTGAAATACATACCTAAAACTTAAAATTAATTCGAGGAATTGATTTCTTTCCTCCTTTTTTTGAAGTCGGTTAACTGTGAATTTCAGAAATACGGAAACTTCGATGTTTCGAAATTTAAAGACGCTAATTTACTCAGAGTTAATACTCACAGCAATCTCTTAAAAATACATAAGATTATTAAGTCTTACTGAATATATGTGACCTGGTCTACGGAAAGGGGGCTTAGGTGTCGAAACAATAAATTTTCACTTTTTGGTTGATTCGGATGGAAGATGAGATGATTTTCACTTTTAACAGCTTTTTCACAGAAAACTTTTTTCGCACGTAAGCTCCCTTTTCGTAGACCAGGTCACATATATCGAAAATGTTTAAAATAGCGTAAAACTGCCTACCATGTAACAGTAGTTTACGGAAAGGTGAAAAAAACTATATTAAATACGTGCCGCGGGCATTTAATTTCCGGCTTTGCCCGAACTTAAACTTCTTTACTTGTTTTTACTGAAGTTAATCACGATATGGAGAAGCATTACTTGAATACTCTGATGAGCTGAAACATCTTGATATAACCATTACCCTTGATAAGAAGAGGCTGAGTTGAAACTCAGACAAAACCCATACGAGCCATATATGCTTTTAGAAGACTGTTTCATCGAAGATGAGGTCTGAGCTCAAAGTTAATAGGTAGGATATAACGTATAGTCATCAGTCGACTCCATCTTTTAGATTCCTGGAATGTACATTGATACGTAAGCAGGTCAAGAAAGGAAGATAAAACAGGTGTAATTTTGTAAAGACCCTGCACTCAACTTTTTTATTTCAATTGGCAAATAGCCTACAGCTTTTCAAGAAGAAGAGCGTAATTGACCTGCGCCAGAATTCACCTTAAATAGGGGTTTGAAAGGCGGTTTCTAGTAGGTTTATCACCTCCAAGCTCTACGTATTAATTTAATTTTTTATACCTTTCATGAGCATGAAATGGTATTATAACTTTGGTCCGATGTTTGTAAGTACCAGAACAAAAAGAGATAGACCCATTAAAATGTATACTTATATGATCAGAACGTCGAGCTGAGTT